CTTGGAAGCATTGATGTGGGAGATGCTTACCTGATGGTGGAACAAGAAGAACCAACAGTGGTTGAAGTCGATGGAGAATACTATGAACTGGGATTCACGTTGCCCGGTCAACGAATCGGAAGTGCAGCTTGGTTCGGGAAGTTGAAAAGTTACCTGGAGGAGTACGGGTTAACAAGTGACAGTGGACTCCCGGCACTATTCTCAAGAACGCCAGACAAAGAAGGATTCGGAATAATCGTGCTGAGTCATGTAGATGACATGGAGCTGTACGCATCAAAAGAAGAATTCAAGAAGTTGGTCGAATTCCTAAGAAGCAAAGGATTGAAGATCAAAGTTGAAGGACCAATGGATGAGAAGGAAGGATCGATGAGTTTCCTGAAGAGAAGTTTTAAGTCGATGGGCAATGGAAACGTAGAGATCACGATGAACTCAAAGTACATCGAAGGACTGGTAGAAGTGCTCAAGTTGGAAGGAGCATATCCGAAGAAGCTACCGTGTCCAGCGGACAATGGAAGGTCGTTTCAAACAAAAGAAGGTGGAATGGAACCACTGAGTACAGAAGATCACCACACGTTCAGAAAAGGAGTAGGGATCCTACTGTATCTCGCGCCCGAGAGGCCAGATATCATGTATGTCTTGAAGAAGCTGTCAACAAAGCTCGCATCACCCGTTGAAGCAGACATGGAACTGCTAAGGTACGTTGGAAAGTATCTCAAGGGATCACCAGAGCTAGCGTTGGTACACCAAGGAAGTTACCCCGGAAAAAGTTTCCTCGAAGTGAAGAACAGAAGCGATGAAGGAAACGATGAAAGGGACAACTACAAAGTTCCCGCGCTCATAGAAGTGATAAGCGACTGTGATTGGGCAGCAGATCGAGAGTCAAGGCAAAGTGTTTCATGCGGAGTGATCATGGTGAATGGAAACCTGATTCATTTCCAAAGCAAGAGACAGAAAAGCGTAGCATTGCCATCTTGCGAAGCTGAGACAATCGCAGCGACATCAATCTTAAGCGAAGGTGTATTCCTGAAAGGATTACTGACAAGAATCCTAGGAGTTGAGCCAAGACTGATGTTATATAGTGATTCGTCAAGCTCAAGACAATTGATCTCAAGAAAAGGCTTAGGAAGAGCACGCCATTTACAAGTAGACCTTTTATGGATCCAAAGAATTCCGAAGCTTATCATAAAGGCGATAGCAGGTAAGGACAATCCCTCAGACTTGGGGACCAAATCCCTGACACGAGAGAAGATACGCAAGTACATGCTAAGCTTAGGATACACAGGTGAATTTTTGACACCAAGTGATCAAGAAGTGCAAGAAGCTGAAGTGAGAAGGACAAGAACAAGAAGTGTTCCAAGATTCGATGAAAGGATGATTACAAGGATTATCCAGACGGTTACGACCGCAGTGTTGTTATCGTTGGCTGAAGCAAGAAGATTCGGTGAAGAAGGTGAACAAGGACTGGGAAGAGCAAGTGTAGTCTGCATACTGTTGTGCATGTTCATATCAGCGATTATGCATAAAGTTGCAAGCGCAGCCATTTTGCTCAAGAAAGAAGTCCTGAAAGAAGAAGAAAAAGAAGAAGATAGGACAAGAGCAATGGCAGACGATGAAGCAGTCAAGTATATGATCATGGAGTGCAGCAGAAGCACCGAGGCTCCCACTTACCTCGAAAAAGTGCTCAAGACAGAACGGTCAAAAAGGCCAAATGCTGATGACCTCTGGAAGGAGGTGGAAGCTCTTAATCAGCAGTATGAAGTCAAGTCGGTTGACAAGAAGAAAGAAGAGCAGCCAGAGAAAAAGGAAGAAAGTGAAGCAGCGTCGGATCCAGAGTCCGATGAGTGTAAAGAAAGCGAGTCAGCAGAAAAGGACGATGAAGAAGAAGCACCTGAAGACAAGAAGGAAGAAGATTTGGAGACGTTTAAGAAAACTGCAGAAGAATTGGCAGAAGAGGCAGAAAGATTGAAGAAGTCGAAGGAAGCTAACTTTGCAGCGTTGGAGCAAAGAACTGTTCGGATACCTGAAGACATCCAGGAAAAGATAAGAGAGCAAGGAGAGATCATGGATGAAAAGCTGCAGCAGCTGCAAGAGATGAAAGCAGCAGCCAAGGAAAGAAGAGCAGAAGTACGAGCAGAAGCGGATAGAGTTGCGGAGAAGGCAGAAGAAGAGAAGCCTCAGGAAGAAGAGAAGCCTCAGGAAGAAGAGAAGCTTCAGGAAGAAGAGAAGCCTCAGGAAGAAGAGAAGCCAAAAGAAGAGGAGAAGCAAGAAGAAGAGAAGAAAGAAGAAGAGAAGCAAGAAGAAGAGAAGAAGGAAGAAGAGAAGCCACAAGAGAAGAAGGAAAAAGAAGATGCCGAAGAAGCGGTAGTTCAATCCTCTGACGAGGAAACCCGCGAGGCAATGGAAGCCCTCAGGAGTGGTTTCAACATAGACACAATGTCTATATTCCCAACAGTTTTGGGACAGCTGAACGTCGAAAGCATTCGGCGATCAATGCCAACAACGGTTCTAGAAAAAGAATTCGTGATGTGGCAAGAGCAGATGAGACGCCCCGTCTCAAGACTCCCATCGGGGTACGGTTTAAGGACCGCAGAGTTTTTAGCAAAAGTGGAAGACGACATGCAAGAGTATATGGGGAGCATGTCCACGCTCACAGAAGACGAAAGGAAGGCTGAAGAAGCTTACAAGCAAGCCAGAGAAGAGATGGATCAATACGAGCAAGAACTCAAGAAGGAGATGAAAGAAAAGCTCGAGGCAAAGATGAAGAAAGTGCGAGAACTCGAGGAAGATGCAGTCGCAGCAAGAGGAGATGTTGAGAAGACAAGCAATGTGAGAAGTGCTTTACAGCAGCTAGGAGAAGTGGTGCAGACGGCAGACAAGCTACTGTCAGCTCTAAGCGAAGAGTTCAAAAGCCTAGATCTGTACACAAGGCCAAAGCCAGATGAAGAGAAGGAGCGGCAAGCCCTAGCAAAGCTTATGGCGTCGATCAAGAGAAAAAGCGAGGCAAGCAGCCCAACAACGCCAGCAGCAAAGATAAAGGCAATGCCAAAGAAAGTGCCAAGCGTGCCCAAAGGAGGACCGACAATTTCTGAAGAAGAGAGAAAGGCAGCGAATTCCAAAGAGAAGCAGCTAGCATTGAAGCACAAGCTGAGAGATCAGTTCAATGAGGCGACAGACGACTCGATTGAAAAGGCAGTGAAGGCAAGGTTGGATCACAGCAAGGAGAAGCCAAGCGAGCCAGAAGGGACACCACCAAAGAAGCAGGTGAACCCATATTGGCTTAAGGATCCAAAAGAAGAGTCATTCAAGAAGACCAAGTACATGCACTGCTTTTACTGCAAGGCGACGGACAAGCATAAGGCTCCGGAATGCCCGGAAATGGAGAAAGCTGTCAGAATGTTCTACAACGGCGAAAGGCCAGACAGCAGCAATACCGAACGCAAGATCTTCTGCAAGGTATGTTTTCTCTACTTCCAATACGTGTCCTATCGTTCATTCAGATATAAAGGCTGGGGTACACATACCCCAGACATCTGCAACTACAAGGACAGCGTAAGAACCTACCTGGAAGACAATGCATACAAGTATGAGAAGGAGCTAAAAGACTTTCCAAGAGACATTTGGTTCAGGGTACACGCCAAAAGACAGTTGGGGAGCAGAACCAAAGAAGCCTAAGAAAAGTGATGAAGCAAAGGCTGAAGAAAAGGTTTCAAAGAAAGCAGAAGAAAAGGAGCCAAAGAAGAAAAAGCCAGCAGACAAGTCCAAGAGCAAGGACAAGGATAAAGAGAAGAAGACTGAAAAAGCTGAAAAGGCTGAAAAGGAGAAGAAGCGGAAGAGCGTATCTCCGTTCGATCAAGAAAGAGCTGAAAAGCGCCAGCGAGGAGAAAAGGAGCTGGAGTGAAACAAGGTTGCGGTTTAGAGCAAGAGCAAAAGAACCGTGAGGGCATTGTTGACGCCCAGGGGAAAGAAGTGAGGGTTGGAAATCAGCCCAGCAACAAGCGTGAGGGCGAAAGCGCCCAAGGCAAAACGTTTCACCAAGAAAGCTTTAGAAGCTTGAGAGGAAAGCCACGAGGATGGAAAGATCCCGCGGCAACGACAAAAGCAGAAGCCACGTGGACGCAATGTCCCACGGCAACGTCAAAGCACTACGAGCACCACGATGAATTAAAAGCCAATGTTCACAAGGCTGAAAAGCCAACAAGTGGAAACTTGTTTCGGCACAGAAGTTTCCAGATTGCCGAAGAGCAAGAATGGACTACATCGCGAAAAGCGACGTGAAGAAAAAGTGAGTGCGCATCGTAGCAGTGACTTAGTTTCCGAGTGAGTCCATGCCAATCGTGTGTGGAATGGAAATTCGCAAATCTGCTATAGGACATCTGAAGATTGAGGATGAAGACCAAAGGAAGAAAAGGATAAAGATGTTCAACAAGTGCTCAAAGAAGCGTGCGAGAAGAGAAGATGAAGCTCACAGGAGCATGCGAAAACTGTGGTAGAAGTAGGAAAAGTTTCACAAGGATCACGTGACACGACAAAGCTGTGTACGTGATGAGGGCGTAACAGATAGTTCAATTTTCCCTCATGCCCATTTACATACAGGAATCCAGTGTTTCACCGCAGGTCAAACGTAGGCTCAAGACAGCCCGACAGCGGAGCAGCAAGTGAGAAAAATCCAAGCTCGCGCCGTGGTTATAACAAGGACACTGGTTTAAGGGTTTAAACTTTCACGGAGGCACAGCGACAAACGGGGCGATGATTCTGCTGCGTTGTAGTGCGGGCAGTGCAGGGCACCAGGGTCGAGCTTCATGGAAGTCAGGTGCTGCGATTCGGCGTGCGTGCACACAGTCACACATCTTGTGCTGTCACCTGCACTTCCGTACCTCCAAAGCAATAGACTGGATGCAACTTAAGAACAGACCTTGGCAAGAATCTGAGCAGTAGCCTTTGTTTTCGCACAGGTGGTTTCAATCGATCAGGGCACCACGGATCCGGATTTCGTTGAATGGATGAGGCTCATTATCGGAATCTCTTCGCCGAGAGCACATGCACTTCCGCATCTCTGCATGCTCTCCCCGGATTGTAGGCCCAGTGCCATGCCCAGCGTCCTGAAGGATATCGGTCAAGTGGATGTCAGTGCCTTACTGTAGTCGAAGTTGTAGTTGCCACCGTCTGGTTCTGAGTCAAGGTTGGCCTTTTGCGAAGCGAGATGCTGACCCTGCAAATCCACGACAGGCAGTCGCAACAACGTGCTGAACAGCAGTGCACCACTCAAACATCAGGTTCCCCGTGTCTCATCTCAACGTCACAAAAATACCCTTGTGCCCACCGGAGTTGAAGCCTCACTCTCATGCCGCGCTCTAGCCGTGTGGCACTGCAGCCCACCGTCACACGTGGCCAGGTACTGCTGAGCCCAAGTGCTCTTGGTGGAAAGTCAGAAGCTTTAAGCCGTGACCTCAGGACGAGAGCTACGGCACTTGAATTCTGCATGCCCTCGCTGTGTCACTCGCCACTCTTGGAAGATGCTGAGAAAGGTAACGTTTTGCTTTATGCCGGTTGCTTGTGTTGGCTTGTGGCAATCGCAGCCCGGGTCTTGGCGTGTCTCGATCCTTTCACACAGACTCGTATTTCGGAGTGTGGGACAGAAGAACATGACAACTGCAAAAACAGGTCCCTCTCATCAACGGATTCTGCAAGCGGACGCCTGGGCAACCCCGATTCCATGGCTTACGCATGCCTTTGGAGGCTTTGTGTGGTACTGCTGCAAAAGTGACACCAAGACGTCGTTGTCTTGCTGCTGATGTCAAGTCACTCTGAACCAGCCTCGAGCAGGAATCTGATAGCAGCACCGACAGTGATTTGGCCTAGCAGGGCATCTGAGAATCGAAGAAGACCGAGCCGCCGCAAGTGTCTGAGCAGGTAGGGCTAGTCGCGGAGCCGTCGGTGCAGCTCTGTAGCATGCAGTAGTTCGCTGTTTCACTGGGAAAATGCTTCCGCAGGGTCAGAATGGTGGATCCGGGGTTGCTTTGACTCCAATCATCCTGCCGCATTGTCCCTCTGTCTTGCGCGCGTTTGCACACCAAGAGCTGTCACAAGCTCCATATTCCAGCCACCTCCATGCGCCTGGCTTCGTCATCACCACTATCCACTACAGGGAAATGTGACATGCCAGCGAAGCACCAGTGGATGGTTCACTTGCCGCCGGTGCAAGAAACAGATCATGAAAGTCATCATTCACCGTGAAGTCCAGAGGCATGAGAAAAAGAGGGTTTTCAAAGACAGGATGCTTTGGGCATTTTGGCTCCAGCAGCTTCCAAAGAGGGGCTGGCAGCACGTACGGCTGCACATCTCGCAAGGGCCCCCGTCATAGGCAGGGACTGGAGTGGGAAAACCACATCCACTTCTGCGTCTTTTGTGGAGGCGAGCGCACCGTCTTGGAGGACCGACTGCGTTGCCGGTCACCTGACTCCTGGCTTGCGCCTGTGGGCGCGGGCCTAGGGCCAGTCGGCTTGGCCGGTGGGGCCCCCGTTGCGGTGGGCGGAGGGGTGCCTGCCGGTGTCGCGATGGGCCGCGATAAGCTCGAGCCTCGGTGCTCGGGATGTGTGTGGGTGCCGCGAAGCGTTCGCTCTGCAGAGTTGGAGTTGCTTCCTTCGGATCCGTGCCTGCGGCTCCAGACAGTTCTCAGCCCTGTTGAGTTCGTCACTGCAGCTATGCATTCGTGATGCTCCGAACACATGCCCAGACCTTCCGCACAGCAACGTGTCTCAGCCTTCCGCGAAGACGACATCATGACTCCGATGCCATGCAGTAGTGCTCCGCCTGGCATGGAGATGTGGCCACACGGGCTGATTCGTGACGACTACCAGTCCTTTGGCGAGTGCTGCTCGCCCTCACAGAGACTCAGCCGAAAACAGGTTCCAGTTCGTTGCATGCAGGTAGCATCCACAGGGAACCCCATGTAAGAGACTGAGGTCGAGCTTGTCATGGTCGCCGATGGCATGGAATGGAGCTCCGACTGGCACGGAGAGGCGGCCGAATGCTACACCAGGACCGATGCTTCATGACTCCCCGTCCTCTGGTGAATACGCTTCGTGCCGGAAGAAACTCAGCCGCAAAGACAGGTTCCAGCCCATTGCATGCATCTGTGCTGCTGGCATCTACATGGAACTCATGCACAAAGCTCAGGTCGAGCTCGCCAGCTTACTGGTCTCTGGTCGAACAGATCTGTAAGTTGATCAAAGAGAAGAATCTGCTGCTGAACGAGTCGTCGAGCTGTAATTACTTCAGCAGTATGCATGAAGGATAAGTTTGTCCCACGGCGAAGCAGTGCCGGGCATGCTGTGGCACTCAGGTGCAGCGATCTTCGCAGCGACAACCAGGCCCTTCGGATCGACAACGAGCAGCTGCACGAAGCGCTTCTCAACTGCAGTTGCTTCGATTCGTGGCCTTTGTACTGTAGAGTTCCCGGAGCGACGAAAGCTGACTAAACGCAGCATCTTGCTGCTTAAGAATTGAGAAAGCAGCTGCTGCCCTTTCCCAGACTCCCAGACCTGGACAGAGAGCTTCACGTGGGTGAACAGGGGACCAGGTCTCATCCAGCGCCCTGCTTCGATGCTTTGAAGTCCTAACGAGGTGTCCCATTAACAAGTTGTTGAAACTTCAGCCGTTCATGGACATACCTTGAGCGAACCCACAGTGCTTGTTCTCCGTCGCTTGCATCCTCCTACAGAGTCCCTTCAGGCTTCGCATCCAGGGCCGGCAGCTTGAAAAAGTCAGGCGGCTCATGCGCAACTACAAGAGGCAGCTTGTCGGCAGGCGATTGCAATTCTTGCCACCAATTGCCTCCGAGATGTTGCTATTGGCACAGCTATGCAAACGGCACACTCAGCGCAATCCTCCTTACTCATGACCACGTCACTGCACAAATGGCCTTGGCAACCCCCAGGCTCACCGTAGGTGCTTGCGTGGACCAAGGCGTTTGGCCCAGGACGCGAAGCTCCGGGGCGGTACCGCCGACGATAAGCTCCGCGGCTGATGTTCCGCGCTGGCGTGAGGGGCCCAATGCCCGCTGAGCGGCCGCAAGTCGAATCGTCCCAGGAAGCAGCGGCTCAGCGACGCTTCTCTGCCGAGCACCTGCGATTCTGACGGAGAGCGGCCTCAGGAGGCCCAAAGCGCAGTCACAGGGCCAAGCCTGTCCTTCCTCACCTGAGCTGCTTGAGAGGCGCCTTCAGAGGCCCCAGCATCAGATGGCATCAGAGCAGGAGTCTTCCAGCAGCATCACTATCGTGGAGCACGGCTCTTGAATTGCCGTTTCGCTCCCCGCGCTCTTTGCTTGCCCAGGTCGCCGCCGTCCAGAAAGGCCTTGCTCGTTTGAGTGGAAATTCTTGACCCTCACGTGCGCCGAGTGCTTGCCGCCAGGTGTTCTTCAACAAGAACGATCTCGCGGCATGGATGCATGGGGAGCCGGGGAGCCTTGTCCACCGGCGGCGAGTCCTCGCAGGTGCCGGCAGGTATGAGCAGAGCACAGCAGAGCAGCACTCCAGTCCAAAAATCATCCAAGCAGCCGTGGGCTTGGCTCTCCCTGGAGGTCCATCACGACATTGTCGTTGGAAGAGTGCATGACTCCGCCGTACCCCGGGCAGCAGCATGAGTGTGGCTTCATGTCGCATCTTGAAGCACATCGCAACAAGTGCCTTCCACATTTCTGCAAGGCAGCGGGTACCCATTTCGCCTACCAATCACGTATGGATTCGCATCAGGGGCCAGGCGGTGGCGGCGGAGGTGACAACAAAGACGATGATGACAAACCTCCACCTGATCCCGGAGAAGATCCAGATCTTGCTGATATTTCTATGTCTGAGGCTGAAGGCGAAAAGGTCGAAGATATCAACGAGAGGGATATGTTGGATGCAATCGGTGACAGTATTCTTCGAAGAGCTGAAATTGACGCCGCCGAAGGCGCGGCATTACCACCTCTACCTCCTCCTGCGCATCCACCAGGTTCATCTAGTAAGGATCGATCTCCGCACTGCGGGATCGGACCGGACCTACTGGAAGGCTTGTTCCTAAGAGACCCATCCCGTGCATAGACAGCTCGTTGCTTGCATTCGACGAGAAAGAAAGCTGACCGAGTTTGCCTGCAAGTGGGGATTGGTGCGTGAACTAACCACCGCTGGACGTTCACAAGGGCAACCGAACAAACTATCTACAAGCTCTCGGTGAGGAGGGCATACTAGGCAACGGCCAGTACCAGAACCTCACGCAGGTTATCAGCCGTAGGCTTTGCCTACAAACAGAAGGTGATCGTTGGTTTTCAACACTCGCAATGACTTCTGGGTCGAGCGCAGATACGACATGGACCATGTTGTGCCGAAGTGGCAGCTCCAGCAGTTGGAGAGTCCGCGACCAACAACCCGAGTGATGAGTTGACATTCTCAAAGTGCCGATACCTCTGCTAGGTAAGTGTAACGCAGGCGCAGTAGTTCGCAGGAGTCTTTTGTGGTTGAGACAGGGCCGGCACGAACTTTATCTCATGGCTGCCGGTGTTCGCAGCCTTCTTGACACCACCCGGCCTACAACTCGAGTGATGAGTTGACACGCTCAACATGCTGATACTGCTGCGAGGTAAGTGTGCAACCGTTCGCAGGAGTCATCCAAAATATGTAGCGAGTTGATCAAGTCGCACACAGCATTCCGAACAGCTGCAGACGGTCAATACTGAGCTGCTCCCACCAAAACTGCTGAAGCGCACTGCTGGGCTGCTTTGCCTGATTTTCTTCGCAGGTGCCCCGTGTCCCTCGACAATGGCTCCTTACCCGAACATTGCTCGCACGGCCGGTGCCCACTTCGCCATAAACACAAGAGTGCCATTACGATTCCGATCAGGTAGCTTCCAACCGAGCATTCGTGCAACAAATATGGCATCTGAAGTTGGGCATGCCCCCGGCATGATGGCGGTCTGAGCGATGTCTGAGCCACCGCCGCAGTTTTGTGTGGATTCGCAGAGAGCCCAAGCCACGGCAGACCTGCCCAGCGGGAAGGCGATCAATGGAGTTGAGTCGGAGTAGTGAGTAGTGCGAGGCCTCGCGGGGCAGTGCTGATTCGCCGTCGTGCCTTTCACCTTCGCCTTCCATGCAGTCTTTGAGTGGCAGTGCCCTGAAATTCCCTGCAGCTCCCTGCAAGAGGACATTGGGCAGTGCAGGGCTGGACTTGCAGGCAGTGCAGAAGGGAGCTAGATCTTGTCTTCACTGCCGCGATGTTTGCGTTCGCTCAGGTGCAACTGCCAGTGCAGTGCAGTACAGAGCCGTGAAGGTTTCTCCATCATGCCTTTAATTCCGAAGCTTGCCACCCTCTTGCGCCAGCAGCTTCTGCCTGTGCTCTGGGCAACCTGTTGAAATCGCTGACGGAGGTAAGCCTGAGCCTCAGGTTGATGCAGAAGACGTCTTGTCTTCAAAAGTAGCCGACAGCACGGCCTGAGAAGTCGTAAGCACTTCTGGGTTCTGCACCTTTCGCACTGTCCCAGGCCTTCGTGATCCTTGCGACGGCTTTCAATGTGGCTCGGATCCCGGCGCAAACCATCCATGCAGATTTAGCAGCCCAACGGGGCTCGAGCCTCCCTTTCGGGACGTCTTGGTGTCTGCTCTGATGACCGACATGACCTGTATCTTACACGATGCATGGATGCGGCAAGGACTTGGCCTCAGTGCTTGAACGCAGGCTTTAGACTCTGGAGCTTTGTAGTTTTGGGTTCTATCACACACGATGCAGAGAATCCGACAGCCCAAAACCCAAGACCCAAGCCTCAGCCGTTAATAAAAGCTTACGGAAGCCCTTTTCCAAAACCTTCCAATGTTGTGGAATTGACTCAGAGTTTATCTTTAGGACGTAGGGTCTCGGGTTGGCAGAACCAAACATTTTTGATGCACAAGCGCTCCATGTTGAAAGCGGGCAAATCTCCCGATGGTTCACTCGATCCCTCAATTCTGTGGCTCAGAGGGGAGATCTGATAGAGCACAAAGGGCTGTAGGGGATACATGAGCAGTTGCTAAAGCATGCCTACGAACTTGTTAGCAGCTTTCAAGAGTTTACGAGGCTATTGTGCAGTCCAGAACGGCAACCCTGCTTAGTCCCGCAATGCCATGGTCTGCGGTCGGTGGTGCTTTCACATCTAATTGGTTGGGTTTGATGTGAAGACCTTCGCACATTAATGCATTTCCCCACAATGTCGAAGGGGAGTTGTTTGAAAAGACTTCCGGCAACACGAGCGAACCAATGATGGCCGTTCCTCTCGGAACCTGATGGGCGGCAATGTTGATGCTCGGACCTCAGACGGATCGTTTGCAACCGAAGATGACGTTTGTTTCTGAACCGACGGTGTGAGGCTGAGTGTGCCAGAGGGGCATAAATTCGTGATGGCTTTGGTTTACTACTGCGGCAGGTCGCCTACTTGATGAGCTGGCAAGTCGCTGTGGCATGGCTCGAAAATTGCGATTGGGTGATGCCCGTGGCGGAATTTGTGTCCTTTGTTGCTGCTCCTGAGTTGTGCGTGGAACCTTGTCGTGGTTTGCCAGAGACATGCCGTTGCCATTTTCACTCAAACTGGTTGGTGGCTCCAAACGAGAATTCACCAAGAGTGGTGGTCAGTCCATTAGTCCATATTCGTACCATTTCACAAGACAGTAAGTGCAGACATGGTTAAACGTGTCAGACTGATCCAAGCGTTGTCATGCAATTGCTACGTCTGGTTCTACTGTGATCCCTGAGTTGTTCTGCACAGCTGCAGGCTGTGATTTAGGTGTCGGTTTGACCTGCAACCCGTTTACTTGTGACCGTGACAGGCATCATGCCGGAGGCCCAGGGAGAGAAGCGTCCTCTCGACCCGGATCCGGACGACGATGACGATGACGATGATGATGGATTCGGCCCAATGCCCCGAAGCTGCATACTGCATCATGTCGGAAGCCATGTGCTCTTGCGCTCCATATGTTTATGGTTTGGTACCCAAGGCCTGTGCCAGCGCCGGCACAGACAAAGCCGAAACGCAAAAAGGCCGCGAGCTCCCAACCCCTTTGACATCGAAGAGCTTCAGTTGCAACAGAGAGTTTCGTTCGGTGGCACATGAAGGTGCTGAAGAACGCGCATGTATATTTGGATAACCTGCCGAAGAGCGAGATGTACGAGAAGATGCTTGCCTCATGTTTGTGGATTGGATATGCTGCCTGGTGTTTTGGTTTCTTTTCGGCGCTGTGCGGGTGCATCTATCGGGATGTTTGGGACACATGGGAGTGCTGCGAGGAGTTTCATGCACCGCGACGTGGTTCACTTGGCAGTCTGCAGCAATGCGACAGGGTTTCTCGTGACCGGCAGCGAGGACGGCCACGTGTTTCGGCAACACATGCAGTCGATTCTAGCATTCGGAAGGGGCCCTGGTAGGACAGGAGCTTGCATCATTGTCCACGCCGTTTTCTATTTGCTTCGACAGATTTGAGGTGAAGTTCTGGAAGAAGCAGTACGAGGGCATCGAGTTCGTCAAACACTATCGAGCACATTTAGGCCGGACGTCTGTGAGAACTTCGAGAACGTTTTTCCTTTCCACACATTTCTCTCAGCCAAGGGAAGCTGCTAGCCATGGTCATCTCGCAGGCAGAAACAGACTCGCTGTGAGCTGCAACATCGTGAGCTCCCACGTGTACATGTCTATGTCATTGTGGATCACTGTATTGTGCGTATTTGCACACATATGAAGCCCACGAACGACCCGCAGGATGGAAGATTGCTCTCCACAGTTGGGGATGACAATGCATTGAAGCTTTTCGAGGCTGGCTGCGTCCATATAAATGGCCCCTTATAAGTGTCGGTGTCAGTTTTTACGGAGGAGCTTGCTGCTCTCAAAATCCGTTTCGGGTTTTATAACCAAGATGCGGCCGCATGCGCTAAACACGACCGAGCCGCCGCAGTGCATGCGCGGATGGGCGGGTTGTTTGGACCAGCATGCATCTGCATTGCTTGGTTGCGTTGAACAATGTTGGACATATGCCTCCTGGCAGATAAAGCTTGCTACAAGTTGGCACCATGGCATTTGTAGTCGGTGGAAGATCCAGGGGCTGAGAGACTGCAAGACACTTAGGGACACCTGGTCTCTGCGCCAGGTTCCAAATGTGACTTTTCGGCTCTCTCTGTCTCTCTGACTCTGTCTCTCTCTCTCTCTCTCTCTCCCTCTTGTGCGTCCTGGTTTGTAGTGGCGAGTCGCCGCCAACACTCATCTGGTTCCGAATAGGCGCAGGTGGATGCAAGAGCTTGATGTTGTAGCTCTCTTGTAAAATGGCTTTGCAAGAGAGAGCTTGTTGCTGGGGGAGGTCACATCTTTCGACATGATCTGCATGATCAAGCTGAAGTTCAAGCCGCTTCAAGTGGAGTTCGTACACAAGAAGAACGCTCCGACCTCCCTCGTTGCGGTGTCGCGGGCCTGAGTTTCTGGCATGCTGCTTCCTAAGTTCAGAGGATGTATCAGTAGAAACATCGACTGGCGACGCCCTGACCGTGCTTAGACTTGAGGTCAGAATCGGAGTCCGGAAAGGCAGCAAGCCAAGCACAGTCGTGTTGGCCTCTGGCCACAGCGGACAATTTATCAGTTTGGTCCTGTGTTTCTCCAAGTGTAAGTCAATTCGGTCCGCACTGGGCTTAAAACCAAGAAGCTTTCGAATCCCAGAAGAAGTACTTCTGCGCAGCAGTGCTCACACTGGCGTGAGGTGCATATTCTGCAGCCGGAGAGTGGCACTGCTGAACCTCTGCGGACCCTCGAGGCCGCCCTGCCAAGAGCGCACCAGAGACATGCTGGTCAGCCGAAAGTAAGACTAGCAGTACATGCCCGGCAGGTCCATGCCGAACCTGCCCATGCCATCAGGCCTGTTCCGAAGCATGAGCTGCAAAAGGAAGCGCTCACGGATGCTAATTCCACGAAAGTTCTGTATCAGTCCACAGATAGATTGTTTCAATGCCGTGCCACTATGCAGAGAAGCACTTTCGGGCTTTGTTACAGCAGCATGAAGGCTGATCCTCCGGTCAAATCGGCTGTCGTCGATTGTGATCTGTGCCAAGCCATATGACACCACGACATCGAGCTCTTCATGAGCTTGCTCCATCCATCCATCCATCCATCCATGTGCAGTTCCGTATGTGCTGGAGCAATTTCAGCAAACTCTTGGGGATTCCAGCCATTGGACGATGTGGCGCACATGCCCTAAACGACTCAACGACCGAAGACCGGCGTTGAGAGCCTTTGGAGTGACATGTCAGGTACAATCCGTGGGTTCACGCCTGCATCAGTGCGGATAAATCAGGAGTGCCGTCCCCGGTGTCCAATCGGCACCGGCCAAGCCACCCGTGCAATTGCGGCACTAGCCGCGCCGATGCCGAGGCGCTGGAACTTTGGGATCCAGACACTCTGCAGATGCCAACGAAGGAAACGCGCCCGGGGAGGCCTGGCGCCGCCCAGGGCATTCTCCGGGAATTCTGGGAATCCAACAAGCCTTGGCAGCTTGGCAGGCTCAAGTTCGAGATCAAAAGCGAAACCCACATGTGCTCCCTGGATGTCTTTGCCTTCTTGCGTGCCAGGATGAAAGACGTTGACAATGTTTCACAAGGTACGAGTTGCGCAAGAACCAGACGCACGCGGGCATCCCAGTAGAACACATGCAGAACAAGATCAGACATGTTTTCTCGACGTTGTGTAGTCCGGCTGATCCCGAGCATAGCGCAGCCTGGCTCGAGCTCATCAAATTGTACGCGTGGGTAGTACGAATAGACTTCCCTCAGAAACGCGTCGAAAATGAAACGCTAGGAGCTCAGAGCTCGTCAACCATGCCTTCCTTTGCAGTCAAGTCTCTCCACGTGGCTCCGCCATTTACGCTGTTTGTTCGTTTTGCTCCTGGGTCTGAGGTTTTGCAGCTGCCGCACTGTTCGCAGTGACAATCCAAGCAAGTGAAGATGCGGAGCGTACTCGAATCCTGTCCGAAATCCAGGCCGGGTCGTTTTCTTCAGAGCACCCTTGCCGACATGCGAGGAACTTGCAAGAATGTCAGGCCATGACTTGTGTGTTTCAGGAGCTCCGCGGCCAGCTTCAGAAGCAGCGCACGATCATCCAGCAGCAGTTCGAACAGCTCGCCAATCTCGAGGAAGACGAGGAGCGTCGCCTGCAGACGGTCGGGAACGTCACGGCGACCGCCTGGGCGACGGAGAAAGCCGCGCTCGAAGCGACCGATGGGAGCATGGGAGCGGCCATGGACACGCTCTGGCTCTGCCTCTGCGGTGCTTTGGTGATGCTCCTGGGCTGGGCCAGAGTAGGGTGCCGTTCAGTGCTGCTTTCCCGACTTTGAAACAAGCTGTTCTGGAGAACAGTTTAAGACTCCAGGTTCATGCACGCCGGCTTCGCCATGTTGGAGACAGGATGCTGTCGTTCCAAGAACGCATCCAACGTCTTGATGAAGAACTTGGTGAAGCTAGGCTAGAATTGGCTAGAATGTTGTATTAAGCCCAGCTTCTTCTATAAATCATACTTGTGGGGTAATTCAGCTTGAGCAGACGTGCGTCTACATGCAATGAGAGCAGGAGAGCATGTGTTCAAATCTTGAGGGCTTCGATAAGTGCTACGTTCACTGGAAAGTTTGCGTCGGGACTCTGGGCTGGTTGGGCTTCTTTCGATGCCATGTTTACGGCACAGTTTGCGTCGGTAGAGTCGGTACCTTTTGCTGGACAGGAGCATGCAGTTTTGCACTGTCCTCGTCGTCCACGGGCATCCTTGGTGCTTTGTTGACTTTAAGCAAATCCACGCATCACTTTTGGTGCTTACCAGTAGCCGACATTAAGCAATTTTACTTGATCCACTCTGCCAGGTGTGAAAGAAAATGCACAACACTGAGCGATGATGCACCCGGGGGTCTCGAGCACCCTTTTGATTTCCCGCCCAGTACAGCCCAACCTCCAAAAGTGCACGAGCTGGAACGGTTTTTTTGACTCTCTCACTGTTCTCGCGGTCTCGTTGGGTGCACTTGACATTGCGTGGGAGGGTGGTGCATTGTAGCCCGTGCTGCAGGCAGCTGAAGCTGCTGATCATCGCATCTCTTTTAATGTGTCTTTGGGGGTTGAGTTTCCAGCTACAACCTGCCGGATCCCTATGACACTAACACGCAGGTGTGCACCTGAGAAATAGTGAGCTTCTGCACTTACGTCCACAGTTGCATGAAAGGTAGCGCTCTGGAGCCTTGGATCGCAGAGGCGTGATCGCTGACTCACTGCGGTGTGGGCGATTTGTGGTTAATGACAGGGGCCGTGCACCGGGGAAAGAGCTCGCTTGGGGCAATTGGTGGGCGCCAAGTTCTGACCAGGACATGGCCAAGGTCACCATGCAGGTTCGGAGAGCTTTGGGTGTCATCTCGGATGGCGCCAGAACTTTGTGGTCCCTCCTTGCCGGTCACTGGATAGACGACGCGTTCACAACGCAGTTACACTACGTGGCTGCGTTTTTCTCGGCGGAGCGACACTGGCGTGAGCGCCGTGTTGGGCTTGTACAGGGCCAGTGGGGCAACGCTGTTTGCATGTTTTTGGAAGGATGGCATTTTTTCGGACGGACTTGTGTTCCTGGACGCAGCCCTCAGGGAGACACCTGGCCGTGGGCAGTGAAGATGGCTTGAAGCGAGGACTGCATGTTGTGTGCGAGCAGTGGCGCCAACACCAGTTCAACAACTGCTTTCGCCTGGACCGGCACGAGGCTCGGAAAATCCAGCAGCAAGATCGTGGAGGATACGACGCTGACCGTGTGAAACGTGCCGCCTCCTGTGAAGCCGGAGGTGTGATGGTTTCTGGCGGCAAAAGCGAGGAGTACTATGCTCGGATCAAGCAAGGCGCGCCGCCCGATGGACTGACGTGGTGCACTACGTGCACGTGAAACTGGGATTCCTGGATGGCATCACGCGGCTTGGCAGTGTCAGGCGTTTGCGCAGACGCGCCCACCTCATCCTGGCGATGCTTGGGCACGGCACTTGGCCTGGCCCATGCCACAATAGTGCCATCGGCTCGCGCTGCAAGGAGTTGAGCACCTTGCTGCTGTGCGCAACAAGCTTCGGGCCACTGTCGGGTTCACGAGAGGCCGCAAGCGCCGTCGTGACGAAGACAGTGAGGTCGAAGAGGTGGAGGACTAGTGCCCTTGTGGCACTTTTGCTTCTTTGAAGGCTTTGCGCGGGGCGCCTGGACTAGGTGCCCGCGCATGCCATCACGGGGACAATTTGTGTGGGCACGTTTGGTTTTCCGCTTCGCTTCCATCTGCATTCCGTCTGCTTCGGTCTTGATGGCGGTGTTTGGCATGGCAGAGCTTGGCATTTCTGCAGGCTTCCCTCGTCCACGGGCATCTTCAGGTGCTTTGTCGACGTAAAGCAAAATCACAGTGCACCGGGGAAGTTTGCGTCGGCACTTTGGGCACACCTCTTGTCTTCGAAAAGTTGTGTCGGCACGTTCAGTCAGGGACACTTGTTCGTTCAGGACAAGGCAGTTTCGGATATCGTCTGATATCTTTGTCGACGTTAAGCACATTCAACAAAAACCGCTCTGATTTTTACAGTAGATCGCTTGCCAGCCACACCAGCTTCGAGGCGTCCGCTAAGAAAATCTTGAATTCACTTTAGGCCAGAAAAAGGAGCAGAAATAAAAAGGAGTTCAAGGAGGAAGGAAATCCCACGAAGGTGTATTAAGAAACCCGACGCAACCTGAGGGGAAACGAAACTGCCTGCTTGCACAAATCCCTGCAGCCTTGCCGCCGGTTAAACATATGTTCGAGAGCCCTACTACTGAAGCGCCGGCGGCTGACACCAAGAATGATCTCTGAATCGTCGTGTCAGGAGGCTCAATCGTATCTTCGGTTCTAAGAAGCCCTGTGCAACGCCGCACTCAGCAACAAAGTCGTAAAGCAACTCCTGCCACGTGATTTTGCAGTCCGAAATTTTAGGATCATTCGGAAAGTGCCATCTACTCTGAAACCAAAATTCCAGCAAGTTCTCGCAAAAGCGTTTACTCGGATGCCTGGCCCAATTCAAGTCTTGGACAACAAAAGCGGGCCCTGGCACCCAAGAGTGCAATCTAGAATATACCACCCGGTAAGCTGGATAGCGATGCCGCAGTGCTTGCCAAAGGCTATTTGCGATAGGCAAAGAAAGCCTAACATTGTCAAGAAAGGCCCGGTCAGTAGAAGACGGACGCTGGCTCCAAGCACTCTGGCAGTTTCCCAGGCACCAGCTACGCTTAGTTCGGGTGCGAGTGAGCGGCGAGCAAGTACAACACTTCTTTGAGACTTACCCTCGTCAAAAGGAATCTGGAGGAGATTAAGGCGCCTAGAAAGCGAGGCAACAAGATAGTCTGCAGATCTAAACCTGTAGAAATGTCATTCAAGATCGCCGTGCGTTTTAAGTGCAGAAGCTGTCGTGCTTCATCCTTCGCAAGCTTGTCAACCTCCTCGTTGTGTTTTGTGAGCCAAGGGTCTTGGGAAGATGTGAGCTGCCTAACATAAGCTTTAACTTTCCTTATGGAAACACGGTCGCACTTAATTTGAATGGCAACGGACACGGCGCTCCACAAATCGGCGTTGTCAAGCTTGCTGATCAAAGCTTTGTTCCAGCGATGGCGTTTGAGCCACCGAAAAGTGTTCACGACACATGCGCAATCGCAGACTACGCACAAGCTACCCTCGGACAACATCACGGCTAAGTACACGGCATGTATCTCTGCACGCTTAGAAGATCCAGGGGTAACTTTTGCATATTGCGCCAAGCCGGGAAACACTACGGCAGCTGCAGAACTTTTTAGAGGAGCCCACTTGTCAAAGAAGCACGAACCATCAGTGAACGCAAGCTCGGCACGAGCCGGCTCAAAAGGCACTTGCACTAACGAGCTGCGGTCATGGTCGCGCTGACGAGTCTCACGAGCCTGCCGAGACTCGAGAAGGACACCAGTATTCCAAGAGACCTGCGGAAACTCCTCCTCGGGCCGCGTAAACTCGAAAAACAGGCATTCCAAGAAAAAACCCCTTCGTCCACGAGTATCGTTCCGGTACTTTGTCGACGTGAAGCAACTCCAAAAAAAACCCTCTGAGGAACGTTTGCGTCGGGACGCTTGGTTGGTGGGTGCTTGGCTATGCCTTTGCTTATGGCGGAGGCATCAACCGGTTCATTGGCACCACAAACTTCCTGGGAGAGGGCTTCTACACGAAGGATGCATCCGGAAATATCCTGGCCCCAGGTTGTGCCAACAACGCTTGCCAGAGCACGGCACTTGCATGGTTCTTTCAGTGTCTAGCTACCGATTTGGGATGTTGTTTCATTTCCCTTATTGTTTGAAAGGTTTTGGGGGTTGTTGAAATCGACAGCTGTAGGTGGGCATTTTGCACAGCTGGAGCCACGATCGTGAGCGGAGCCGTTGCTGAGCGCGTCCAGGGCCCAACATATGCCAGCTATGCTTTCGTCATGACCTCTTTGATCTATCCCGTGGTCGTGCACTGGGGTTGGAGTGGCAGCGGCTTCCTCGGAGACATCCTGGATGTCGGTGTGTCTCGGATGTTCCTATATTTATCCTTCAATAGCTTATACGGCCTGGTCCGTACCAACATGCAATTCAGGTCAGCTGACACGAGATTTTAATTAGAGCCATGTTGCTAGCTCGAGATACATGAAGCAATTTTTTGGATTCCTATAGCAGCTAAGGTCATGGATTTCGCCGGCAGTGGCATCGTGCACCTGACTGGTGGAGTCAGTGGTCTTGCGGGAACCATTGTGCTGGGGCCACGCAAAGGGCGCTTTGTCAACCCAGAAGAGTTTGAGCCTCACAACCTTCCACTGGTGGTCTTCGGAACGTTCGCTCTGTGGTTCGGCTGGTATGGCTTCAACCCCGGTTCAACCCTGGGCATGTCCGATGGCGCCACTGGTGCACTGGCGGCCCAGGTGGCAATGAACACTACAATCGCTGCAGCCACCGGCGGCATCACTGTCTTCCTCCTGCGGTACATTATCCTCCGCAAGTACGACGTACCTTAGAGATTTTTGTTAGCATGTGATTCCTCAGACAACAGAAAACAAATGAATCTCACAACCGCATAGTTTCTAAAGCCACCCTCAGGTGGGCGGGCTCTGCAATGGCATCTTGGCAGGGCTTGTTTCAATCACGGCACCGTGCGGTAACATTGAATGTGGCAGTGCATTCGCCGTCGGCTTCATCGGTGCCCTTGTCTATCAGGGATCCTCCATGCTCCTCCAGAAGCTAAAGATTGACGACCCTGTGGATGCAAGCCCAGTCCACGGCTTCTGTGGAATCTGGGGTGTGCTAGCTGCTGGTCTCTTCGACTGGGGCAAGGGCTTCGATCACTTCCACGGCTGGAGTGGCTGGGGTTGCATGACCGATGACAACGGTGCCTGCCAGACAGACATTAACGGTTCAGCCCTCGGCGCGCAAGTCATCCTGATTCTCATGGTGATCGCCTGGGCCGGCACGATCTCGGCCTTGACCTTCGCCCTCCTCAAATGGTGGGGAGCCTTGCGGATTTCGGAGGACACGGAGGACATGGGCTTGGACGCCAAGGCTCACTCGCCTCCGAAGGCTTATGCCTTCTCGGCTTAAGCCGAAAGCAAAGAGGCTCAGCATGCAGAAGGCTGAAAGGTCAAGGCCATTGCACACGCCAAAGATCAGAATGTGTAGGAGTGGAGCTCTTACACATCCGATGGTGCTGGAAGTCACATGACTACCTTGTAGACACCGAAGAGTGATGCGCAAAGATGCCCCACTCTTTTTCTTGTTACGCAGAGCTGGGGCACGACTTGACTAGTCTGGATTATGTCAAAACTGATACCGGGGACTCTCAACGAATGTACGGCTGCCTCAGCATGACGATTTGCTTGCCTGAATTAAGCCACGAACTGCCGAAGGTTGCTGCCGAACACATCGACTTGGTGTGAAAACAGTTGCCCGCAACTTTGTGCGTTTGCTGCACATGGGCATGTAACTTGAAGCCGATTTTCAGGCGATATCTTTCTCCATCAGCGTTGATGGCAGCATGTTCGTCATGGTGTGCGAGGAACTGTCCGGCTTGGCTTCATGCTTGCACACTGCCCTGGTGCCCGTAGTGCCTCCCGGAGTGTGTCTTTAGTATATCTGCAAGTGCGTGCAGGCCACAATACATGGAATCTTGTAGTCATGAGCAGCTGCTCCGTTGTTTGGAGGATGGCCGTTTGAGAGTCTTCCGCTTCGCGACGATGAAGATGGTGGGTCCCATGGAAATTTTCCTTTTTGATGCTAGCCAGACTGGGTAGCGCTCTTGATCATGGGTCCGTGCTCCTGTCACTGTCTGTGAGGTTCGTGCATACGACGAGTCAATGGAGATGTTCACGGCGGCTCAGAGCGACCCGAACATGGGTGATCTCCACCTGGACAGGTGTGCTGCTGAACTTCGCTGCAGGCTTCTCAGCGCTTGCTTCACCTTTGCGGCCCCCAACACAGGTTCGATTTTGGACGGCGGATTGCCGTGGAGAAAGAAATGCGCAAGTCCCCTGCGCAGATGTATCAGCAGGCCTATCCATCGTGATGTATTTTTGCCTTGGTTTTTGTTACGCCAAGCCTGTTTCTTCACCTGCTCCCAGTGACGGCACGTCATTGCCGAGCCAATTCTGCAAAGGCTCTGTTCGACGAGTCCTGTAATTTCTTGGTCTTCACTTCGCTTGCTGCACCCTGAGATGGTTTGCTTGACTTGCGAGGTTTGAAGAGTTTGTGGGTTTTTGCAACCACACTGCGTTGCACATGTTGAAATTGCATGGCATTGTCTAGACAATGGTTTTGTCTTGAGATCGGCGTCAAGATTGTCAACTTGCATACCAACAAGCTCGTGAAGATTCTTGGTGTGCCCCTGAGACAGTACATGGCACGAGCTCATCTGGCAGCCTTCGCCTGTACTCGAATAATAACGTCTGAGTTCAAGTCTTGCGAAGGAAAAGTCGAGCAGACCGAGAGATTCCTTGGCCTGGCCCTGTACCAGGGCAAAACTCAGAAGAAGAAGGCCAGCTTGTGAGCTTTCCGTCGTCGGGACATCGATGTTCAGATTGCGGACCTTCTCTACCTCTGGAGGGTCTTGCTTCGTGCATCTTTCTTGACCCCTCACGTTCTGGCAGGCAGCCCTTGGAGAATCTGTCGTGGAAGGGGAGAATGACCAGAAGGACTTGGAGTCAGGGAGTTGCTGAGGCCCTCGTCCTCACTTTGGCCCGAGGAGTCGGCAGACCCGATCGCCTTGGTCACTGCCTACAAGAAGAACAGGCCAGGCCATACTGTAGCACATTCAGAGCTTCCGTTGAAGGCCGTCGGATGCTGTGGGCAATGTTGGACGATGCCAGGTTTTACCTGTTCAGTGCTCGCGAGCCAGCAGAAATGACCGCTGACTTGGGTCGAGACGTTTTCAACGAGAAGCCCAGCAAGGCAGTTCCGGCTGCCAAAGTATTTGCAAGTGAGTCACATCTCTGGCGATTGACGTACTTGAATGCTAAAACAACATGTTGGGCGCAGGAAGACGCAGCCGTGGCGGCATCGATCAGGCCGGAAGGGGGTGGGGCATGGCCGAGCAGAATTGAAACTCAACACCCCCCCTCCCTGTACCGGGCACAAGGTGCATCCCCAAGGCTTCTGAGGGATCGCTGAGAAGGAAAAATTGTAGACTGCTAAGAGCAACCTTCCTGCTGGAGGACGGAGAACCCGCTTGGCAAGCAGGCGACCATTCACACCACGATGGGAGACATCGTCGTCAAACTCTTCTACCAGGTCCGCGACAGTAGCCTTCCTTCTATTTAGCAGCACGTGGGAGGGTTTTGCGAATGACAGCAGGAGTGTCCAAAGTCGGTCGAGAACTTCACGGTGCACTGCAAGAATGGTTACTATGTCGCGAGCTCAGCATTGTTGAAGTGTTCTTCTTTGCATAGCTGGCTCTCGGCTCACAAAGTTTGTCGCATATGCATAAGCAGAATTCATCAGACGTGAAGATATGTCTGAAAGGACAACATCATCTTCCACCGAGTCATCCAGGAGAACAGTCTCTCACTGATTTTTGCACCACATATTAAGATGGAACAATTGCTTTGGCTTTCTTGGCAGGGCTTCATGATCCAGACGGGAGACCCACAGGGTGATGGCACTGGCGGTGAGAGCATCTGGGGAGGTGAATTCGAGGCGACAAACCGTCTGACCTGTGCAGTCGGCCTAATGGTCTTGCCGGTTCAGCATACTCGTAGGAACGGATCTATCGTTGGCAGCTGGATAAATATCTGCAGGGATTTGTTGTACGAAGTTGAATATTACAAATGATGCCAGTCTGAGTGTGCTGCCCATGAAATGTGAACATTACCTTGGCTGATTCCTGTACAGCATCTGATTGTCAGTGCAATTTGCACAATCGTGTAATTGTGGTCATGGTGGATTTTTTGGGCATTTTTCGGTGGTGGACAGGACGAGTTCCATCGGAACCTGAAGCACGATCGTCCCTTCACCCTGTCCATGGCCAATGCAGGGTCTCACTGGCGAGCTTGAGTTTGTTGAGTTCTAGAATGGGCGTTGCCTGCATCGTGGGGTTCGATACCAGTGTCACCGGATCGCTGTCAGGCCAAATACGAATGGGTCTCAGTTCTTTGTGGGCTGCTCAGCCATGTAAGCTCTGACCTTTTGATGATGTCTGGACTTTGACTTGGCAGACTGCTCGTACTTGCCAGCCGCAGGTCACGACAGTGCCTTGTCCTTGGCTGGATGGCAAGCACACGGTCTTTGGACGCGTTCTGCAGGGCATGGACGTGGCCGTGGGCTCGGAGCTGTCTTCTCTTCGTCGCTTTATGTCAACACTGTCCGCTGCTCGATATCACTGTTGCCCATGCAGATGAACTTGCGGCGCCAAGGTTCAAAACATCGAGAAAACCCAGACGAATTGCGAAGACAGGTGGGAAGAGCAACAGCATGCTAGCAGGGTCTCAGAAGGTTCATTGATTTTCGAACGTCGCGGAGGCCTTTGGTCGACATCAAGATTATGACCATCAAGATCATCAGCTAAAACCAAAACAAGGTTATCTTGCTTCAAACTTACTAAAATATACTCGTGTAGGTTTCTCTATTCTAGAGAACCGAAACACAAGAGTTCGGCTTGCTTTTTGGACTCCACTCCTCCCTACAATAATAGGCGTAGGAAATGTTCCACTCTTTTTGGGACGGTCCGTTCCGCATTCTGGGAATTTTGGGGAGGTTCTTCTTGATAAGATAATTGAAAATTTCTGGAAAATATCATGACTTTTGGGGCTCCGTCCGATGGGTACGTGCGTTTTGTATCAGCATTGCGCCAGAATCAGCAACAACATTAGCAACGACAACAACATCAACATTAATATTAAAATCAGAGTCAATATCAAACCAAGATCAATAGTAGCGCCATCAATAACAACCTATAACCATAACCACAACTACAACCAGAATCCAATCCCAACCGAAATCAAAACTAGAACCCCAACATATCTATTTTTCTATTTGATTGAATATCTATTTCTCTATCTTTCTATCATTTACTATTTCGCATTTTTCTTCACTTCTTTTTTTAAGATATTCATCTATTTCTATTGCTTTCTGGGTCGTTCTGGGTCTTTTAGATATATTTAGATTTCTCTGAATTTCTTTGTGTCGTTCGGATTCTCTACTTCTATAATTCGTTCTTCTTAAATTTTTATCATTTATCTCTAGTATGAAATTTCTTTTGATCGGTTTATTTTAATTAGATCTGAATAATTAGAAATATGAAAATATGATATAAGTATATCTAAAATATAATTACAATTATAAATATTTTTCATATATCGATATATTCAGGAAAAAATAAATATAGGATCGGATAATATCTTATAATACTGACTCTCGTATGTTAATTATGGTGCGCGTATTTGTACGTAGAGGTGTGAGATAATTGGTGATGCGTATTTATGTATATACTATATGCGTTATTTATTATCTATATATTATGCGTCTATATAGGTTACGTAGGTAATATGAGGATTTCGTATTTGGGATTCTTTCTTTATTTTTTGCTTCTCTATCTCTATCTTCTTTCTGTTTTTCTAATTCTCTATTTCTTTCTGATTTTCTCTGTATTTCTCTCTCTATCGTTATTTTCGTTTTTTTTTTCGTTTCTTTTATATTTCTTTATATTAATTTCTCTTTCTATTTTTTTCTCTTTCTTTCTCTCTCTATCTCTATATTTCTTTAAATAGGAATTATTAACGAATTTTCTCTTCAAAAGAAAAGGGATTACGCCTGGTGGGATGGGTGGTACGCGATTCGGGAGCTGGGGGCCCGCGGAATTTGGATAGATGATACGCGGCTCGGGAGCGGGGGCGGGAATCTACGGAATTTAGATGGGTGGCGAGTCGCGGAATTTAGATATGTGGAATTTTTATCGGGAATTGGGCACGCGCTGTCGGAGCGGGGGGCTCGCGGAGATGGAAAGGGGGGCACGCGGCTGGGGAGTTGCGGAACCGCACAAGTTGGATGGGTGGTACGCACGCGATTCGGGAGGTGGTGGCCCCCGGAAGGGGATAGGTGGCATACGTCTCGGGAGCTGAGGCCCGCGTAATTTGGATGGGCGGAGTTTGGATGGATGAAACGCGGCTCGGGAGTTGTGGGTCCTTTCAATTTGGATGGGTGGCACGCAG